TCCCCCTCACACAACCCTCCATTCCCACCATCGCCCTTTGCCAGCAGTCGCCCGTGGGGGAACTCGCTCTCCCTTTCTCCAGCCTTCCGCTCCAACGTGCTTCCCCCCGCACATCCACCCACCGCGTCCTTACCATCCCCCCTTTCCAAACGTCCTCCTTGGATCACCACATCCTCGCCGTCCTTCCCTTCTAGCGTACTTCCCTTCACAAGGTCAAACACCACTTCCTTGTCTCGGCCCGGCCCATCAGTCCGTCCCGGTGCCCCTTTGACATTGTCATGCCCTCCTCCTTGGGTGGTCGCAGTTTTCCCCGCCTTCCCCTCCAACATGCTGCCCCCCCCAGGTTCGAGGCCTGTCTCGCCCCCCGCCTCCCGAGGGGTGTGATTCCCGTCCCTGGTTCCACTACAAGCCTCGTCCACAAAGCCCTCTTCTTGCCCGTCGGGCAGGGCCGGTCTATCCTCCCCCTTCCCATTCGTACTTTCCTCCACCCGAGCCTCGTTAACCCGTCCCCCACTCATCGCCCCTGCCTCCCCCTGCCCTTCCGTACCTACCACCGTTCTTTCCTCCATTATTTGGGGGGGGGCTCATCCCTCCGCTCCCCACTCTTCTCCCCCTGCACGCACTCCCTAGCCGCTTCAATCACACCCTCTTTCCCTTCCCGACGACTCGAGGATTCCACAGCGGGGTTTACCTTGACCTGCATTACGTCACCCCGCTGCTCTTGCTCGTCCGGGGGGCTGCCCAGCTGCTGCTTCACTTCTTCCACCTCCGCACTCCCCTCCCCCTATGCGGGGTCCTGTCGCTCCTGCTCAGCACCTAGTGCCTCCATGTCTAGCCGTGGTTGCTCACTCCCTACTGCCTGCCCCTGCGTTTGAGCATCTGCGGTCTCCCGGACGCACAGAGAAGTTTCCGGGGCTGGCTGCACGCTAGGTCCTTCGACCCGATGGCCTTGTTCTTCAAGGATTACCGCCTTATCAACCAGAGTGTGCTGAGCCGGCTGCACGCTGGGCTCACTCCGCCTCGTGCCTCCCCCCCCCCACCCCCCACACTTATTCCCTACTTCCGCACATTGCTCCTCCACCCGTACTTTCGGAATCCCCGAAATTGCCGAAGTTGCCAATGTCGGCGGCTCCCTGAGTCCGCTCCCCACCTGTACTTGAGCCGCTACAGCCTCCTTGCTCCCCAAGAGAGTTTTCGGGGCTGACTGCACGCTAGAACTTTCAACCCTATGTCCTCGATCTTCAGCAATTACCTCCTTGTCTACCTAGGTGTTCTGAACCGGGTGCTTCTCGCCCCCGTCCCCCCCCCTCCCTGATTCCCTACTCCCGCCGGGTGCTCGTCCGCCCGCACATTCCCCGAGCTTTCCGATGCCGGCTGCACACTAGGTCCACACTGTCGCTTCTCCATCCCCACCTCCACCCCAGCCCCGTTGGTGCTTCCCTCTTGGCAATCCTTACGTTTCCGAAGCTGTTCACCAAAGAGCCAAACGGGGGGGTCTATCTTCATGCGGTCGTGCACCTGCACTAGGGGGTCCCGATTTCGTCGTCCTCCCTTCCCCCACGTCGGCCGTACTTGCCGGCCGCGGGGTCTCGGGGCTGATCGCCTACTATGACACACCGCTATCTCGGGGCCCCCCATACGCCTCCGCGCCTACTACAGCTCCTGCAACACTACCGCATCGTACCGCTGTTCAATCTCCCGCCAAGCCCTCCTTTCCTCGTCCATGTTCGACACAAAGATAGGGTCCATTCGCCTACGCATCTCCTTCTCCTGCAACTCCCTGGCCGATTCCGCCATTCACAGTTTCACAGTGCAAAGTGTTCACACTTAGACGTGCATGGCTTAGTCCTTGAGACAAGCATATAAGACTACTGGCAGGATCAAACAGGTAGCGGGTGTGACGAGCAGCCGCACGGAGCGATGGCCGAGGCGCACGTAGGCATGTCACACCGGACAGCCTACCAAAAGAACGTYGAACAATCGTGGAACGTGCAATGAGCTGTCGAGACGCCATGAAGTCCGGCTGTTTGAATTGCAGGTGAACTTCCCTCGGTAGGCCATCTCCAACGGCAAGGTACCGCACAATCCAACACAGCCCGCCTCACCCGCCCAAGAGATTGGCTGCGAACAGCACCCGCCCACACCACACCTAGAGTTCACAAGTTAACCACACTACCTGAACAACGGCGGCGCGAAGGAACCACCGACAAATTCGACCCACAGCCGGATGCCACCGCCCGCCCAAAACGTACCGACAGCGAAGTGCACAGCCTCATCTCTCCATCGAGAAACACGGGTGAAGAGAGAAAGGAATGCACCACGCTTGCAACACGCCCGAACGGACGGAAAGCCTCCACCTGTGCACGGGGGTGCAAAMGGAACACAACCCCTCTCCCCCCTGGGTCCACATCCGCCGGTTGAGGCGGGCACCACCAACAGCACTCGACGCAGGCGAAACCCAGGAGACAGAGGACAGTAGCCTTCGAAGCCCACAACCTAAACGCAGCGGAACCGCGACGCAACGTGATCCGTCACGGTGTGCAGCATACCGAGACCACAGGATGGGGGACACGACGGGCACAAGCGTGCATTCCAAAAAGTCGGGCGGATGACGGGCCCAACCTCGCAACGCCGTCGGAGGGTGCATCACGCATCCCACAAGTCTCCGCCCTCGCATACGGTAAGCAGCGCGTGCATTGCCCAGGCCACCTGCGCCACCGCTCAATGGCGTCGCTCGGATGGCGGAGAGCGCAGAGCGTCCTCACCAAGTCGTGACACCCCCTCAACCCAAACGGAACGCGCCGTCGTGAGTGAGGAAACGAAGACGACACCACAACATAGCCGCAACAGCTCTCCCCGTAACCTACGGGATGATGGTGCCGAAGCTGAGAGCCGGTGACGATCACCTCCGCCTCCACACCCTGCAAACGACCGCCAACAGGACCGCCGTCGGCGATGACGCGCCAATCATCGCAAGTCGATAAGCGAGGGTGAATGCAACCATCCACAACCCGGCACCACGGCATAGGAAAGCCCCGACAGCCGTGACCGCAGCCAACGACGACCGAGCTGTCGTGAAATAAGCCCWCCGAGAGAGACGACCATGGACCCGAACGACGCCGCAAAAATGTTCGCTCGACCACSAAAGCACGACTCGCCCGTCCCTCGCAAACTGGAAACCACCCAAAGCGTGTGCAAAGATTCCCTCGTAACTGGAGTACAATCCTGGGAGACCCCCTTTTCTCGGGGCCGTTCCTACGCCCGAGTGGCAGTGCGCGGTATCTACTGCCCCCACAAAATTCGACATCTCAAAAGTCCATCCCATCTTCGTCCCTTCCACACACAAAGAGATAAGGGGAAGGGCCGAGGAAAAAAAATTAATACATTATAAAAAAAGAAAAGGGACGAAACAAACAGAGAAAAGGCCAAGCAGCTTCTGTGCCTAGGGACTCAGATCACGCCGCAGTGTGGGAGTGAAAAGTTTACAGGAAGTCTGGCAGAATTGTGCGTCCGTTGTGGGGTTATGTGTTGGTCAACATGACCGGACACGCACTCCAGAAAGAGAAGGAAGGAAGGAAAAGTCAAGGATGACTTGACAAAATCGTCATTTCAATTTGTGTCGGCCCCGAAAAAAGCTGCATCCGGCAGAAGAAGCGAGGCCGAAAACCCGACGGCCATAAGCATTTCCGTGCATGTCCCGGAGAACACCATGGAGCCAATCAGGTACTGCCTC